AAGGACCTGAAGAGTGTTCTTCATGGGCTTGGCCTCCTATGTTTTGAAAGGTTCTCATTATCCATCCTGTCATTTTTCTGCAGTGGATTGATACAATGTTATGGTCTTGAAGGTGAGATCCTCCGGACTAATCACTCCTAGGTCTTGAGTTGGTGTTTCGCTCTATTTTGTTGGCCGGAAATTTGTTTGTACTTGATGAAGATTTAATTTCTCAGTTTACCATATCTGAGTAATTGAATTTCTCATCGTTGATCTTCCATATTGTTTTCTGCAGCCCACTGAAAGATTTGGTTGATGTCCGCCTGAGCCTTGCAGTGTCTGCAATGGAAGACACTGTCATGCAGATTCGGGTGTCATCTGCCAAAGGGAAGACAAGGTGCTGTGGCTGAACATCCTTGTCTATTGTCGGATATGAGGATGAGGAACAAGGATGGAGCTAGTACTGTGCCTTGTGGGACAGAGCTGTCACCGTAGCTGCATTCGGGACTTTACTCTTGTTGACGACTCTCCTGTGTTTCTGTTAGTGAGGAAATTATAGATCCATCGACCGACTTTTCCTGTAATTCCTTTAGCGCGCATTTTGTGCGCTATTTACGCCATGGTCACAACTTGTCGAAGGCTTTTGCAAAGTCTGTAGATAGTACATCTGCATTCTTTTGTCTTATAGAGCATTTAGGACCTTGTCGTAGTGATCCAGTAGTGGAGACATGGACAGGAGCGACCTGTTCTAAACCCATGTTGGCCCTTGGTTGTGTAATGATGGGTTTCTAGCATGGGTGGTGATCTTGCTTCTTAGGATCCTTTCAAAGATTTTTTTGGTATGGGTTGTTAGTGCTATTGCGTCTGTGATTCTTTGCTGTTGCTTTACTGCCCCCTTGTGGAGTGGGGCCTATGTCTGTTGTTTTTAGTAACTGAGGGACGAACCCCCTCGTGTCCATGCTCCCCTCCATAGGATGGAAAAGGTGAGATGGGGCTTCTTTGCTGTTCTTGATGACACGAGTTTCCAAGAGTCTGGCCCTGGGGCAGAGTTCATGGGCATGTCATTTATCGCCTTGTTCGGAAGTCATTTGGGCGTCAGGATAAAAATCGGATAAGGCTTGTGTTAGTAAATTTTGTGGCTCTCTCATAAAAAATTCATTTTGGTCTTCGACTCTCAGTCTGGTTAGCGGCTGACCTAAAAACTGAGTCTTATTGGGAATTGAGTTAGGCTCACTCATTTCTTGCTGTCATCTGTGTAGGACCATCTTGTTTAAGTAGGGGCCCAATACTGGACGTTGTTTCTCGATTTTGAGTTGGCATAGGAGAAGAAAATATTTGGGTTTTCTACGATGTCATTTATGGGCTTTTAGTTCTTCCGCGTTTCCTGACTCCTAAAGGATTCTTTAGCTGGAGTTCGATGCTTGCTATTTCTCTGACGCTGTGTCTCCCTGCGCATTTCAGATATATGGACCTCTTTTAGCCGCTCTGTTATTCTTTTCCGTCGCCTGTAAAGGGAGCGCCCTGTCTCTTTTCTATTTTACATCTACTCCTCCTTTTTCTTAGCGAATAAGCCTTGTGCATACATCGGGTGCAACCGAGTTAATCTGTTCTAGGCATAAGTTTGGTCTGTGTTGTTAGTATATCTTCCCAGCTTATATCGGTTAGGACTTGGTTTACTTGGTCCACTTTATGTTTTTGTTATTGAGTTGAATTTGGTTAATGCTCCCTCATGTCTAGTCTCATTTTGTCGGTCTGGGGCTCCATGCATACATGTTGAACCTCAATTATGTTGTGATCTGAGTATATTGTTTTTGATATGGTGCCATTTCTTATCAGCTCATCTTTGTTATTGAAGATGGTAAGGGTCTAGTGTATTCTCCACAGTCTTGTAGGCTCTATTCTTTGCATGGTTTAAATTGATTTTTGTGCAGAGATTTAAAAGCTCGTGTAGAAGTGTGAGTTTTTCATCAGAGCTGCCTCCTGGTGTTATTTCTGCAAAAATATTCATTTGCTATATTCCTCCATTTTAGGTGCCTTATGTTGAAAATCCCCCGGAGCAAGATGTTGGTGTGCAGGGAGCTGGAAGATTTTACCAGGGACTAGTGGTCAATTTTTAACAGCTGTTCCTGGAATTGCTGGGTGTTTGCATCCGGAGGCTTTGTAGATACCACACTGACTAGGTTTTGGTTCTCGACTTTCCCTGCTAAAACTTCCACTACGTTCATTTGAGTAGGCATTAATAAGCAGTTCTGTGCAAACAAGGTTGACTCTGCAATGTACAGGCAAACCCCCCCTTTTGCCGTTCACTCTGTTCACATCTGTATAGGTTGTAATGGGATCCATACTTCGTTGTCCAAGTGATTCCTTTATGTGGGTCTTCAGTTGAAAAGCCGCGAACATTGCCTTTGACTCTGCAAGCAGTCCACGGATGAAACGGTATTTGTTGTTTTGTAGCTGGCTTTAGAACCCTGTATATTTGCAATGAAAGAATGTTATCGGAACTGGTGGTATTTGTTCGGTATGGGGGGGGATTTTTTTTCCGGCATTAGTATCTGTATCTGTTGGTTTGGAGTGGAGGCCATCGACTGTGGTTCCACTCCAGGAATGACTGGATTTGAGTGTACATTTCTGCCATTTCCTGGCCAGTTTTTTTTCCTTCCTGGCACTAAAAAAACCTCTCCCTCTTGTGTTGCTTGTGGCTTACCAGGTTTTCCCTGGCATGGATGTTTTGTATCCTTTTTGGTCCCTTTTTAAAGATGGTATGACTGGCAATTTAAGTTATAGCACAGTCTTTCTGTATGAAGAGGTACAATTTCCTGGGGTGAAAAAGCTTACAGGAAGGGAGTTTGCATTTTCCTGTTTTCATATGGGCATGGGCATTTCTAGGGTGGTTATAGTTGCATGTCCCACTGTTTTTCCAGATTTCCCATGCCAGCAGTTACCAAGGCATGTATGTGCACAGCTTGTTTCCGCTTGCTTGGGTTTCTGTGGACTGTATTCCTGTTGGTAGAGGCTTGTTTCCCTGTCTTACTTCTATCCTCCCCTACACATACACTAATGGTGCCTCCCACCAGTTGTTTTTGGTAATTTATCCTCACTATGCTATTGGCGTCCTCTTTGTTTGCTTTTTCCTGCGGTATTTCTAAGTTTGCAATTATTGGTTTTATCTTATCTTTTGACTACACTGTTTCCCTACTATGGCTCCTGTACCTATGAGGTCATTTTATATGTATTTCCTTCTGCGTATATCCCGACTCCCTGGACAATAAATCTCCAGCTTCACCATTTCTGTCTCCAGGACAGTTTTCTCCAGCTTCACAATTTCTGTCTCCCAGGGACAGCACCTCCCGCTTCACATTACTGTCTCCAGGACAGTATCTCCAGCTTCACCATGTTCTGTCTCCAGGACAGCACTCTCCAGCTTACCATTTCTGTCTCCCAGGGACAGTTAATCTCCAGTTCACCCATTTCTGGCTCCCAGAGACAGCACCTCCAGCTTCACCATTACTGTCTCCAGGGACACCTCTCCAGCTTCACCATTACTGTCTCCCAGGACAGCCACCTCCAAGCTTCACCATTAATGTCTCCCAGGACAGCACCTCCAGCCTTCACCTTTACTGTCTCCCAGGCGAGCACTTCCAGCCCCACATTTACTGACTACCAGGACATCACTCCAGCCTTACAGTTTATGGACTACATGGGCCAGTATCAAGGGCAGTACCATTCAGCCCAGACATTTTATCGTTCCATCTGTTGTAGAAAGCTGTCCAGGTTTTCTATGAAGCAGCTTTGATGTTGTCCTCTTTTAATACCTTGTGATTTTAGTCCACAGTTTTTCCTCATTTGAGCATACCCAAAAACACTTCTCCGTTTTAATACTGCTTGTAGCTAGTTCTGGATAGCTGCACAAGGGGCGTGACAACAATTTCCACTAAAATGACAATTTTCCATGTGGAAGCCCGTTTGTTTGACTGACCACAGACTACCACAGGGCTTCATAATGTTTTGAATGGTTGATTTACCAACCCCTATTTTGGGCCAATTCCTTTTTTCCGTCCCAAAAACTCTGATTTCACCGAATCCTTTTTTTTATCGAATGGTACAAGAAACCCCCCATTTATTTTTTAAAACTACACAAAAAATGATCAAAAATTTAAATAATTTGGGCAAATTTAAAAAATTAAGAACCCAAATTTTTAAAATTGGGGCCCAGAACAAAATGCAACTTCTGGCATTTAAAAATAAAAAATTTCTTGTTCTTATCCTCTCCAGGCCCCTCTTGTATTTTTTTTTTTTTTTTTTAATTTTTTTTTTCCCAAAAAAATTTGTTATCCATATGCACAATTTTTTTTTATGAATTCGGCAATTGTGAAAAATTAAATTGACCCCCCCAGTTTAAGTATGGACGCCTGACTTTTTTGGGTTACTTTAAATCGTCAAAAATATAACATTTCCATTGCTTTTGCTTTAAGCTCAATTTCAAACTTTTTGCAAACCATTCAAAACCGCCTATTTCTAATATATCATCCATTCTATCAAACGAGGCCAAGAATACGAAAATACAACCATAAATGCAATACAAAAATACACAGCAAATTTGCCTTTTAACACCAAAAACACTGTCCCAGTTTTCTCGTTATGCACTGCTTGCTGCAGGATTTTTTTTTATACTGTACACTGATCATGCAGAACCATTCTCTCGTATGTAGGCCTACCAGCTTTCAAGATTTGAAAGCTGCTAGAATTTTGGTATTTTATTACGCAACCGGCACTGGCTTCAAAGCTAATTTTATGGGACTGACACTGAAGGGGTTGAGCAACACTGACATCCACATTACTTACAAGCCAAGAAACCAGTCTGCAACAAATTTTTCCATGCTCTTGCCCTTCCCCTACTTGTAATTACTGTCAGCACCAAATTATAATTTTTCCATCTAGCTTTGTTTAACTTGCTCCTCTCCCAGGATAACTTAACATTACAATTATTCAAGTAAATGTTAACAAACAGCAACAATACTTACCAATACATCCTGGCATATTTCCCTAAGTTCTGTTTCGACCTGAAGGGGGAAAAAAACAGGAGACTTAAAATAGTAATCAGGCATATTATTAACTAATATATCTATAAAAACCACTTAAGTGCTGAAGTACAGACTGCTTACCTTCTCTCTGTATTCCTTCGCCATTTGTTGTTTTCGTTCTGAACCCTCTGTTTTCTGTTCTATGGAGGAAATAACTCGCCAGGAACTTCTCCGAGCTCCTACAACATTCTTGTATGCTACTGACAAAAGATTGCGCTCCTCATTTGAGAGCTCCACCCCTGCAAGTAGAAGATGAGACACATGACCACCTAGGAATTAAACCAAGACATCCCCTACCATTAAGGTAATCTAAGTTAATCAGCAATAAACCAGCTTAAAGGCAAGACCAACTTTAAATCTCTTGCATTACAAAGATTAAAAAGATTTATGCTCATGCTAAAGCACAATTCTGTGGGTATCCTATTATGCCTGCATCAGTGACAAGAAAACAATTACTTGCATATTACTGTTTACACCTCCCATCCCTGCTACTATCCCTCTGCACATTTATAAAGTAAAACAGTATAATAGTGGAGTACAGTATTAGAGTGGAAAGTCTGGGAGGAGAGTAAAAGATTAGAAAAGATGTGAACCACCACCTGTTCTACAAAAGCTATATAAAACCACTAATTTTCAACAAGGCAAAATTAAAATAGCACATGTTAAGCACTTTTTTTTAAATGCTACAGGTTACATATACTAAAGTTTTAGTAGATACAGTCTAAAGGTCTTTCAGTTTTCCTATTCTTGCCCCCCCCCCTAGTCCTGGGCCAGACTTTTCAACAAGCCTTATCAACAAGGCTGGTTATTGCCAGGAGCCCCCTGACGCATACATGCTTCACAGCCTAGCTAATGTGACACTTTACTGAGGTTCACATCCAATTTTCCCAAAGCTTACACTTTCCAGCAATGGTGTCACTCTTGGGTCATATTAAACAGTCTGGACCCACAGATGTTGAAATATTCTTTTGTGCCCTCTGTAAACCCAGTTTTACACCATTTTACACTTATCTCCAGTATGTTATGGCAGAATTAGGACCAGACTAAAGACCTTCCACATATGTAATCTACTCCAATGACTACATTTAGGACAGGCTTTCCCAGTAATTTAAATACCTTATTGGCTCAAAGTGGGCCATAAATGATGCATCCATTCCAGCCGATTTCTCCTTTAAAAAAATGGTCTGCCAATATCATTACACCCAGAGCTCTTAATCTTTTCATTCTATTTAGTGATCTTTCATTTCATAGTGTCTCAGGTTCATTCATAGCCAAGTACTGTAGTTGAACTTTTCTTTCTCCACTGCTCACTTGAGACATGTCCTCTATTGAGGCAATTCCCACTTTCATAACTGCAAATGATACTTAAATAGCAAATGTTATCTATGCTCAGTGAGGATAAATAGTAAAGCTTCAGGAGCATACTAAAGGGTACCGAGCTTTTTACTTTGTTAATGCTTGATTCCGTCACTTACTATTCTGCTGTCATAAAACATCTAATGCCCCAAAATTGTGTGCAATCACTGATAACATTTGCCAAATGGCTTTCCAAAATGTGTAGACATCTGCACCTTTAGCTTTCTTCCAACACGACTTCTGTCATTAGTTTAGTAGCTGTAGCAAGCATTTTCCTGCTCAAAATCGATGTTGATTTGGGTTGTGTAGGTTATGCTATTCCATAGTTTGTAATTTACCATCTTATCAGCACTAAAGCCTCTGGCATTTATTTCTCCTGTATCTAAACCTCCTCCAAAGTAGTGAAATTCCATGAATCCAAGTGTTATATGGCTAGGTTTTTTTTTTTTTCCCCCCCAAATTATTTTTATTTGTACTTTAGTCAATTATGTGATCTGTGGCGCCTTGGGGAACTTTTTATTCTCAAACCTGCTTTAAATTAATGACCTGCTGAACATTATTCATATTTATCTTAATTTTGCTCCCTTCTATTTTCATTAGTGTACAAACCTCCTGCAATAAATGGACCAATTCTACACTTAGGCTTGGGGATTTTTTTTTTTTCCTTTCTTTTTGGGTCACCCGTCTCGGTGGGAGACGGCCGACTTGGTTTAAAAAAATAAAGTACAGTGGAACCTCAAATATCGAACTTAAGTTCCAGGAGTTAGTTCTAAATTCGATAAGTCTGAAAAGCGAAGCAATATTTCCCATAAGAAATAATGGGAATAAAATTCATCCGTTCCAGAAACGGGAAAAATGTTCAATTTTTTTTTTTATAGATTAAATATAAATATAGTTTTACATACATAATTGAACACTTTGTTGTGTGTATTAATAAATTTAAATCAACACATAAAATAACATTTTACTTACCTTTTTTGAAGAGTGGTGATGGCATCTGGAAGATAGGGAGGTGGAGAGTGAGAGTTGGGGTTAGTGTTTGGAAGGAGAATCCCCATCCATGAGGACTTCAGGTATCAAAAGCCCTCTGGGGTTACTTCCTTTCTACGTCTTTTAACCCTTTGAGGGTTTCGGACGTACTAGTACGTCTTACGCGCAGGGGTTTTTGACTGTACTAGTACGCATAAATTCTAGCGCCGTCAAATCTCGCGGGAAAAGGCTGATAGGCCTCCATATGAAAGAATGGGTCTATGTGGTCAGTGTGCACAGTAAAAAAAAAATCCTGCAGCACAGTGCATAATGAGAAAAAAAAAAACACCATTTTTTTGGCATAAAACAGCGACTTTGCACTGTATTTTCGTATGGTATTTATTGTTGTATTCTAGTTTTCTTGGTCTCATTTTATAGAATGGAATGCATATCACAGAAATTGAGATTTTCACTGGTTTTACAATGAAAAGTACCTTGAAATTGAGCTCAAAGTAGCAGAAATGTTCGATTTTTACCAAAGTTCAAAAGTAAACAAATCATGCCAAGCGTCCAATACACGTCAACTGGTGAGTAACATTCTTTTGCAAGTGCGCCAATATGATTTATACCATTTTTTACACTAATGCAGTAGTCTGCATAACAGTAAATCTTCTATTTTTCGTGATAATAAAAATTCAAAGTGGAAAGCAAAAGAATGTAAGAGGGGCCTTGAGAAGTGACTAATGAACAGAAGAAATGTCATTTTAGTGCCAGGAATGTATTTGTTTGTTCTGGACCCTATTCGGAAATTGACTTTTGAAATTTGTTTAATTGGCAAAATTGCTAAATTCTGACCACTGTATTGGATAGTTGAAAATGGTAAATGGGTGGTTTCTTGCACTCATTCAATAGAAAAAATGTAGTTCTAGCGAAATTCATGTTTTTTGTTGACTAGTACAGAGGAATTGACCGAAAATGGGGCTCAAATTGGGCAAAATCACCGATGCGTAAACATCGCCGAGACCGCTAACTTCGCGAGAGCATAATTCCGTAAGTTTTCCATCAAATCTCAATTTTTGTGTCATTATGATTGGGAAAAGATTCTCTATCTTTTCATAAGATTTTTTTTTTTTTTTTTAAATTTGGCCGACCCTGAGAACGAGTTTGAGAGGGCCTGTCGACCCTCAAAGGGTTAATGCCACTAGCAGCAGCTTGAGTGTCGCTGGACCCGTCTCACAAAATAACTGTCCACAGTTCTGTTTCTGGTGCCTCTAAGATTTCCCTAAAATGGGACATATCTATCACCAAACTTGTTGCAAAGATGGCTTGTTTCAGCTTGCTCAGGGTGGTACTTCTCCACAAACATTTGGACATCATTCCACTTCTGTATGATTTCCTTCACATCTATGGTGTTTCTCACTTTCTTTACCACAGGGGTACAACTAGCAAGTTTCTTTGGGCCCATTGTAGCTCATTTCAGTCCCACAAGCACTAAACAATGAAGTAATCTTAAAATGTTTGAGTGCAGGTTAGTGTTCACTCAAGCATCAACAAAACCAGACTGGCTCACGGTGCCTGCGTGGGGGATGTGGACAGAGCAGGCTGCCGGACAGGTCCAGTACCGGGTGGTTCGAAAATAGGGGCAAATTTGACAATAGTGACAAAGTTGGTTCGAAAAAAGGGTTCTATTTTTGATGAGTTCGATAAGCGATACGTTCGAAATTTGAGGTTCCACTGTATTCAGGGTATCAATATCCTGGATAGCTTTTTGTTCCTTTTATGCTTTTTCCCATCTGATATTAAAGCTTGTTTTAATGTTCAGTAAAGGTTACCTCCTTGTTTTTTAATGCCTTTCAACCTCTTCCTGCATCTACATTCTTGTATGCTCTTTCTACATTTGACCTTTCAGGCTCATGAGTATTTTACACAAACCTTGTATGCTTCTGACTTGCCTTTTCCAAACATAGGTAGGTAAGGGTTCAGAGTGCTTATCAGACATACCCAAGGAAAAGTTAAGTTTTTCTTTCTAATGCCTCAATGCAAAATTTACTGAACATCCCTTCTATTTATACTATTTCTGGAGTTCTCCACTCCTAGATTTACACTTTTGTAAATCTAATGTGATCAGAGAATACTGTTTGTTTTATGTCTGGTTAGTTCTTTATTATGCACGAGCCTAAAAGCCAGTGTACTTTCATTTCTAATCGGTTCTGTAATATGTTTGTTCAGCTTAAGCTTTCCATGAAGCCCCTTGGATCTCTTATGTATTTGCCGAGTTCACATGCTTCTGGGAATTATTTCTACTATAACACTGATTTACCATTTCCTATCTCAAATTTGAGATGGAAATAGTCTAGGATAATTTTTGATGTAGGATTCTCCAGGTTATCAAGGCATTTATATTTTCCTTGTCTGTTCCATGAACTCCTCAGTAACTATTGAGTTGTATATACAAGTATAATTACTAGGTTATTCTTCACTTAGTACTTCTACTTTTTATTTTAAAATTGTGGAACTATTTCAGACCTTCCTGTTAACGCTTTTAAACAATGCATTTCTGTCAGGAGCCTACACAACCCTTTCACTGTCGTATTAGTACGGATTACAAACCAGTGTTGGTGCCACAATACGCCAAAATTCTAGTGGCTTAAAATCTGGTGGGAGAAATGTTGTAGACCTACATGTGAGAATGGGTGTGGGGTCAGTGGGCACAGTATAAAAAATCCTGCAGCACAGTGCATGAGAAAAAAATACTTTTTTGGATTAAAACACAGGCTTTGAGGTGGATTGTCATATGGTATTTATGGTTGTATTCTCGTTTTCTTGGTATCTGATAGAATGGAAGATATATTACAGAGATGATTTCGATTGGTTTCACAATGAAAAGTATCTTTAAACTGAGCTCAAAGTAGCA